TCATTCCTCACTCACTCACTCATCATCCCTCACACACTCACTCACTCACTCACTCACTCACTCACTCATCACCACTCACATATGATGATGATAAGTGTGCGCGTGAGAGAGTGTGATGATCATCATCATCATCACCATTCAGTCAGTCAGTCAGTCATTCACTCACTCAATCACTCACTCACTCACTCGTTTTGGGCTTCGTCTGTGAGTGAATTATGAGGAAGTCTCAGGCGGGAGCCCCCTCCCTATGGGGCCCGCGGATTATGTTACTAATCCGAGCGGGCCATCCAATTCCTGTAACTGTCGCCACTTTTGGGCTCTCGCGCTGCCAGAACGCCACTCCCAGGCCACATTTTGAATGCCCGGAGCCAACTGTAGGCCACTTCGTGTTCTTCGTGCTCCCAGAACACCGGGAATGCATGCAAGGGCCCCCTTCTTTATGGGGCCCGCAGACCATGTTACTAATCCGAGCGGGTCATCGGAACCTTGTAACTGTCGTCACTTTTGGGACCCTGAGACTTGAATTTGGAGGAAATATCAGGCGGGAGCCTCGTCTGTGAGTGAATCGCGAGGACGTTTCAGGCGGGACCCCCCTCCCTACGGGGCCCGCAGATCATGTTATTAATCCGAGCGGGTCATCCAATTCCTGTAACTGTCGTCATCAGTTTTGGGCTTCTCAGGCTTGAATATGGAGGAAGTCTCAGGCGGGAGCCTCGTCTGTGAGTGAATTGCGAGGAAGTCTCAGGCGGGACCCCCCTCCCCATGGGGCCCGCAGATCATGTTATTAATCCGAGCGGGTCATCCAATTCTTGTAGCTGTCGTCAATTTTGGGCTCCACAGACTTGAATATGGGGGAAGTCTCAGGCGGGAGCCTCGTTTGTGAGTGAATCGCGAGGAAGTCTCACGCGGGAGCCCCCTCCCTATGAGGCCCGCAGATCACGTTATTAATCCGAGCGGGTCATCAAATTCTTATAACTGTCGCCACTTTTGGGCTCTCGCGCTGCCAGAACGCCACTCCCAGGCTACATGTTGAATGCCTGGGGCCAACTGTAAGCCACTTCGTGTTTTTCGTGCTCCCCGAACACTACTCTCGGGCCACATTTTGAATGCCTGGAGCCAACTGTAGGCCACTTCGTGTTCTTCGTGTCCCCAGAACACCACTCCCGGGCCACATTCTGAATGTCCGCAGCCAACTGTCGGCCACTTCGTGTTCTTCGCGTTTCCCGAACACCACTCGCGGGCCACATTCTGACTGTTCGGAGCCAACTGTAGGCCACTTTGTGTTCGTCGTGTTCCCAGAGCGCTATTCCCGGCACGTATCCACTGGGACGCACCCCTGTGCGCTTCCTCTGGGTCGTGCCCCCGCACGTATCCACTGGGACGCACCCTGAGCGTTTCCTTTGGGTCGTGTTCGGCACGTATCCACTGGGACGCACCCTTGTGCGCTTCCTTTGGGTCGTGCCCCTGGCACGTACCCACTGGGACGCACCCTTGTGCGCTTCCTCTGGGTCGTGCCCCCGCACGTATCCGCTGGGACGCACCCTGTGCGTTTCCTTTGGGTCGTGTTCGGCACGTATCCACTGGGACGCACCCTTGTGCGCTTCCTCTGGGTCGTGCCCCCGGCACGTATCCACTGGGACGCGCCCTTGTGCGCTTCCTCTGGGTCGTGCCCCCGCACCTATCCACTGGGACGCACCCTGTGCGTTTCCCCTGGGTCGTGTTCGGCACGTATCCACTGGGACGCACCCTTGTGCGCTTCCTCTGGGTCGTGCCCCCGGCACGTATCCACTGGGATGCACCCCTGTGCGCTTCCTCTGGGTCGTATTCCGGCACGTATCCACTGGGACGCACCCTGCGCGCTTCCTCTGGGTCGTATTCCGGCACGTATCCACTGGGACGCACTCCCGTGCGCTTCCTCTGGGTCGTGCCCCTGGCACGTATCCACTGGGACGCACTCCCGTGCGCTTCCTCTGGGTCGTGCTCCGGCGCGTATCCACTGGGACGCTTCACAGTACGATCTACATTCGTTCTTTTGAAGCAGGAAACTATGCCTTTTATCCCCACATCCAAAGTGGGGTTCTTGTTTTCTCTGGACACCCCGCGCAGGAACCTCACCTCACCCCCTCTCGTCTTTTGTCTTCGTGTGCTCACTCACTCACTCACTAGCTCACTCACTCACTCACTCATTCACTGACTCATCAGCACTCACTCACTCACACGCTCATGAATTCACATATGATGATGATGAGTGTGCGCGTGAGAGAGTGCGATGATCATCATCATCATCATCATCATCATCACCACCAGTCAGTCAGTCACTCATTCACTCACTCACTCACTCACTCGCCTTGGGCCTCGTCTGTGAGTGGATTGCGAGGAAGTCTCAAGCGGGAGCCCCCTCCCTATGGGGCCCGCGGATCATGTTACTAGTCCGAGCGGGTCATCCAGTTCCTGTAACCGTCGCCACTTTTGGGCTCTCGCGGTGCCGGAACGCCATTCCCAGGCCACATTTCTTAGTGAAACGCGAGGAAATGTCAAGCGGGACCCCCCTCCCTATGGGGCCCGTGGATCACGTTACTAAGCCGAGCGGGTCATCAAATTCCTGTAACTGTCGCCACTTTTGGGCACTCGCGCTGCCAGAATTCCACTCCCAAGCCACATTTGTAAGTGAATTGCGAGGAAGTCTCAAGCGGGAGCCCCCTCCCTATGGGGCCCGCGGATCATGTTATTAATCCGAGCGGGTCATCCAATTCCCGTAACTGTCCCCACTTTTGGGCTCTCGCGTTGCCAGACCGCCATTCCCAGGCCACATTTTGAATGACCCGAGCCAACTGTAGGCCACTTCGTGTTCTTCGTGTTCCCAGAACACCATTCCCGGGCCACATTTTGAATGCCCCGAGCCAACTGTAGGCCACTTCGTATTTTTCGTGTTCCCAGAACACAACTTCTGGGCCACTGCCTGAATGTCCGGAGCCAAAACAGGAGGGCGAGGTCGGGGGCAACGTAGGGAGCGGGGGGAGGGCCCGCGCCAAGGCGAGAAGAAATATACGCAGAAGAGACAACCAGGACGCCTCACCAACCACGAGGACGACGGTGAGGGCTTCTTCCAGATTCGCCCAGAGGATTCTCATGCGGGGTCCTTCCGTCAGAGTAATTTATTTGGAGAAGTGCCCCGTTCGAAAACAATCGTCTGAAAATCCTGAACCGTGCCAACACACAATTCCTGGGACTTCAAAGCCACGAGTCAACGTGACTGTTCCGTCCTGACGACCCTGAATCGTGCCAGAAAACCATTTCCTGGAACCTTCATCTTCGCGAATCAAAATGACGGTTGCGCCCTGACAATCCTACACCGTGCTGAAACACCATGTCTAACACGTCAACCATAAGAATCTTCAAAACGGCTGCAAACTCTTAAGGCGAATGTGCGCGGCGCTAGGGCAAGAGCCACATTTTGGAAAGGCACCGCCATCCATTCGCAAAACGATTGCAAGCTATTAAAACGAAGGTGCGCGGCGAAACGGCGAAAGCCACATTTTGAAAAGAATCCGCCCTCCTTCCGTGACACTGCTGTAAATTCTTCAGACAAATGTGCGTGACGCTAGGGCGAGAGCCATATTTTGAAAATGAACCGCCCTCCATCCGTGAAGCTCGTGCAAACTTGCAAGACAAATTTGCGCAGCGCCAAAGCGAGAGCCACATTTTGAAAATGAACCGCCCTCCATCCGTGAAGCTCTTGTAATATTTTGGGTCGTTTGAGACGAATGCTCGCGGCGCTAAGGCGAGAGCCACATTTTGAGGACCTGCTCTCCATCCTGGAAATTGCTGGTATTTCTCAGATCAGGAGTATGAACGGCGGGGAAGTCTCAGGCGAAACGCCCGGCCCGCCCCTCCGACACGTCTCGGGGTGCGACAGGGAGGAGTTACTGAAATGGAAGAGGAATGGAGGAGGAGGAGGAGGAGGAGAAAGAGGAGAAGAAAGAGGAGGAGAAGAAGGAGGAGAAAGAGGAGGAGGAGGAGGAGGAGGAGGAGGGTGAGGAGCAGGTGAGGTGAGGTGAGGTGAGGCGTACGGCCCCGCGGGTTCAAAACAAGCGCCCAACTACACAAGAGGGCTTGGAGCAAAACATTAAACCACGACGTCCAAATCTGAGGGCACGCGCACGCAGTGAGGGCTGGCCAGAGCATCCCTGCACGGCAGCGTCGACGGGCCCCCACGCCAAAGCTGGGGTGAACCAAAGCCAGGGCCGCCACGAGGGCACAAAGTTATTCGCGGCTCGCGATTCGCGACTCTTCATCCTCATCCTCCTCCTACTCCTCGTCTTCCTCGTCTCCCCCACGGGAGCGCCGCGAGAGCGCGAAGTGGTTCGCGCTCGCAGCGTGAAGAGCGAACAGAGCTATCCTCACCACAGGGTGGGTGGAGGGGTGCGAAGTCTGCGGCGTGCCGCCGGTTTCGGCCCCGCTGCCGGCCACTCGTTCTCGATGCATGGCCGCCGCAGGGGCGCCGGGAAAAGTAGCCGCTTGCGGCCGATCTGCGAAACCCTTTTTCTCGCCCGCCTTGGCGCGGGCGAGCACGAGGCGGCGAAGGGCACCGCGCGTTCGCTCGCCTCCCTGACGCCGTCTTACAGTGGAAGCCCATGCCAAGAAACACCCTGTTTGCCTCCAGGGTGCCCTGGGGGTTCTTGGAACTCGACGGTTTTGCTGTGGAGGGCGTGACTTTCCCACACCAAAAATCCGTCCTGGGGTCCCTGGCTTGGGTGCCTTGCGTACAGTCAGGGCGATGAAGGAAGCACCGCCTCGGGCTCGGGAGGGGCTCTGGTTCTCGTGCCCTCCCTGGCACCCAGGTCGGGGACCCCACTCGTGGCCAAGGCCCCCCCTGTGGCCAGAGAAGCTCCCGTCCATGCTTCTCCAGCGCTCCCTCTGGTGGCACGACGGCTGCGCGCGGCCAGCGCTCGCCTGGCCGCGCAGCGCGGGCAGCGCCGATATGGGCCCCCGCGCCGCAGGCGAGCAGGAGTGGGCGAAGGGCACCGCAGCGATCATCACCGGCTGTGTGGCGGCCGCCTCGGCGAGCCGGCGCGGCGGGGGGCGCCTCTGCGAGCTCCGCTGGGGGGAGGCTCGGCGGCGCGCAGGCCGAAGGATCGAGGATCGAGGCTCGAGGCTCGAGCCGGAGTGGGTCCCTCGTGGCCACGATTGGATAGGCTGTCTGGGCTGGACCCCCCAAGGGGGCCAGCAGGTCCTCATCTACGTATGAGTGCATAGATGTGCATGTATACATGCTATGCGTGCAGATGTACATCACCACATACAGCGCACGTGCGTAAATACATGCACGAATCTTTGTATATCTCAGGACATCGACATGCATGCATACATACATGCAGATATGCATTCATACACAGATTGGCATGCGCATATACACTCACGTGCTTGTATACTCATATGTGTGTATATAAAGATGTTCGCGCGCACACACACACACACAGAGACACACAGACACACAGACACACAGACACACACACACACACACACACACACAGACAGACACACACACACACACACACACACACACACACACACACACACACACACACACACACACGCACACACACACACTTACATTCACACACGCACACACGCACACGCACACGCACACGCACACACACACACACACACACCTCAATCTGCCTCCCCCTCTTCTCCCCTTCCCCATTCCTCCCCTTCCCTGTCCTCCCCAAGTCCCCCATCTTCCTCTCCCCCCTCCCCGTCTCATCCCCACTCCTCCTTGATTCCCTCTCTTTACCCCCCCCCTCGCCCCCCCTTCGTCCCACCTCACCCTGTTTCTCCCCCTCTTCCAATCCAGTCGCCATCTCTGTCCCTCTCCCCTTCCTATCCCATCCCCATGTTCCGATCCCTCCCCCTCCCGTCCCGCCCATTTCCCTCACCATCCAGCTCTCCATACCTCTACCCACACCCGCCGCTCACCCATCTCCGTCCTCCTTCCCTCTTCCTCTCCTCCCTTCTCCCCCTCTTCATTGCCCTCGTCCTCCTCATCTCTATCCGCGTCCCCCACTTCTCTCTTCATCCCCCCGTCCCTTCGCTCCAATCCCCTCCTTCTCCACCCCTCGCCGACCCCCGTCACTCGCCGTCACCCTCCCACTCTTTCTCTCCCTTCCCCATCACCTCAGGCCCCTACCATCCACCCTCCCTCATTCCTCCACCATTTCTCTCCACACCTCCCTCCCCTTCCCCACCCCCGCCCCTTCCCACCCCCGCCCCTTCACCCATCGTCCTCCCGCCGCCTTCCCTTCCCCATCTCCTTCCCATTACCCTTCCCACTCACGTTCCATTGCCTCCTCTCCTCCCTCATTTCCCCCCGCCCCTCGCCTCCCCCGCGCCCGTTCTCCTCTCCCCCCTGGGTCCCTTCTCCCTTCCCCGCGCCCTATCTCCATTCACTCCCCCATCACCCTCCCTCCCCGTTCCGCCCTCACCACACCCCGAGCCTGGCCCGTGCCCCCCCGCCCCTGCGGCGGGGCAGAACCCCGCAAGCCTGCACAGCTTCAGCCTCGGCCACGGCTCAGAGAGCCAGGCGCGCGACAGGCGTGCGCTGCCGGCGCCCAGGCAGACATCCGCCCAGATCGCGCCACTTCTCTCCTCCGCCATCCCCAATGGGTAGGGTACCATCCCTCTGCCCTCTGCTCTCGCCTTCGTCTTGCAGCAGCGTTCTGCCCAGCATTGTGACTTCCACCGGGTATCTGTTCCCTCCTTCCCTTCTGCCCCTCCCCACCCATTTTCTCCCAACAAAAACCCCATTCCCACTCTCGTCCGTTCCTCCCTCCATGCCCCTGCCCCGCCACACCCACTCTGTCCCTCCCCCCGCGACCCTCCCTCCCTTCCTTTCCTCCTCCCCGCCCCTCCCCCCTCGCCTCCCCCCCCCCCTCCATTCCCGCCCCCGGCCTTTTCCCCCTCATTTCCCCTACCCCCGGCCGTTCTCTCCCTCCCCCTCCTGCTCTTCTTCCTCCTCCTCCTCCTCCTCCTCCTCCTCCTCCTCCTCCTCCTCCCCCTCCTGCGTTTGAATTCTTTACGCTTCGCGTATCCCCACCAGCCCATCTCAAAACAGCAACTCTTGCGAAGCATGCCGACAGTCGTGTTTTTCAGGCGTGTTTCCGCCTGCCCCCGCATATCTCCCCTGTTCCTCCTTCCTCCCGCCTCCTTGTACATCCTCCTTGTGGTGGGAGCGGGAGAAGGACGAGGCGGAGGAGGAGGGAGAGAAAGCGCTCCTCGTGGTTTGAGTCGTTTGGGGTTTCTTGTCCTGGTGTGAGTCGTTCGGGCCCTTCTTCCTGGTGTGAATCGTTCGGGCTCTTCGTGATGTGAGTCGTTCGGGCTCTTCGTCCTGGTGTGAGTCGTTCGGGCTTCTCGTGGTGTGAGTTGTTCGGGCCCCTCGTCGTCGTGTGAGTCGTTCGGGCCCCTCCTCCTGGTGTGACTCGTTCGGGCTCCTCGTGGTGTGAGTCGTTCGGGGCCCTCGTCGTGGTGTGAGTCGTTTTGGGAGCCTCTTGGAGGCCTTTTGGGGCGTCTTCGGGGCCTCTTGGCGGCCCCAGGGGCTTCTAGGAGCGTCTTGGGTGCCTTGGGGGAGCCTCTTCGGGCCTCTTGGGAGCCTCTTGGAGGCCGTTTGGGGCGTCTTGGGGCCTCTTGGCGGCTCCAGGGGCTTCCAGGAGCGTCTTGGGTGCCTCGGGGGAGCCTCTTGGGGCCTCTTGGGCGCCTCTTGGGGGTATCTTGGGGGCCTCTTGGAGGCCTCTTGGGGCCTCTTGGGACTCTTTGGGAGGGGTCTGGGAGGAATCTTGGGGCCATCTGTCGGGCGATCGATCACAGATGGGGCGAGCACTTTTCTCCCCCCCCCGTCGGGGCCAGAATCCTCGTGAGGGGTGTCGAATAGTAGTAGTCGTAGTAGTAGTACTGGTAGTAGTAGTAGTAGTAGTAGTAGTAGTAGTAGTAGTAGTAGTAGTAGTAGTAGTAGTAGTAGTAGTAGTAGTAGTAGTAGTAGTAGTAGCCGTACCACCATGCGTAGAAGTAGTAATAGTAGAGGTAGAAGTGTAGTAGTGTGAGTCGTTCGGGGCCCGCGTCGTGGTGTGAGTCGTTCGGGCTCCTCGTGGTGTGAGTCGTTCGGGCGCCTCGTCCTGGTGTGAGTCGTTCGGGCCCCTCCTTGTGGTGTGAGTCGTTCGGGCTCTTCGTGGTGTGAGTCGTTCGGGCCCCTCGTCCTGGTGTGAGTCGTTCGGGCTCCTCGTGGGGCCTCTTGGGGGCCTCTTGGAGCCTCTTGGGGCCTCTTGGGGGCCTCTTGGGGGCCTCTTGGGGGCCTCTTGGGGGCCTCTTGGGGCCTCTTGGGGCCTCTTGGGGGCCTCTTGGGGGCCTCTTGGGGGCCTCTTGGGGCCGCTTGGGGGCCTCTGGGGGGTCTCTTGGAGGCCTCTTGGGAGATTCCTGGGGGCCTCTTGGGGCCATCTTGGGGCCTCTTGCGACCTCCTCAGAAGCGCAAAGAAGAGCTACCCCCTGAGAAGGACAAAATGAGGCCAAAACCTTCGTAAAATCAATGACTTTGCTATGAAGGACGATGAGCGCTGCCCCCTCAGAAGTCCAAAATGGGGCCAAAACCCTAGTAAAATCAATGGTTTGGCTTCACAGAAGAGGAGAGGGACTTATCTCCGTCCCCCCGTCGGGGCCCGAATCCTCCTGAGGGTCGTCGTTTTTTAGCCCTCCCAGGAGTCGAAATTGACCCCCCTGACGACCCGCCGGACCCCCTCTCCAGGCCCAGGGGGAGGGGGGAGGGGGAGGGGTAAACCCCTCCCCGAAGGGGAAGAAGGGGGGTTGAGGACAGAGAGAGCTCGCTAAACCACTCACGCCCAAAGGGCTGGTGGGACTCGCGCTTCGCCGATTTCCAGGCCCGTTGCGATTTGTCACGGACAACGCGGCCCTCCATCGAGGGTGGCACTCCAGAAGGCATGAGAATTGTAAAGGCCCCAATTCTGACCTCTGGTTCCGCGTCCGTGCCGCCCTCGCTGAGAGGGGAGAGGGTGAAGTCCAGGTGGTGTGGTACCCGTCGCACGTTGACCCAGAGGACCCCGCCCTCTCCCCTCAGGAGCGGTTGTATGCCACGGGCAACGGGTTTGCCGACACTCTCGCTGGAGATGCGGCCAAGTTTTCCTGGACCCATGGCCTCCAGGGCCAAAGGCCCCCCGACACGGATCTCTGGGATTGCACCGCGTCGCTGGTTAGGCGACGCGCGGCGAAGGCTATGGTGGACTCCATCAGTGTTGCCCCGTGGTCCGCCGAGCGGCCTCCCGAGGCCCGTCGGGTTGAAGGCCTCCCTGAGGCCCTGCTTAAGAGCGAGCACTGTTTGGTCAGGACCGAGCGTGAATGGCTGTGCTCGCTGTGTCACCAAGTCGTCCCCGTGCATAATGTTGCCGCGTTTGCGGCGACGCAATGTCAAGCGGCGAGCTCTGACCTTTCAGGTCTCGCCGATCATGGGGTGGTGCGGGCCAGTGGGGCGGTGACGGTCGGGGGGAAGGTATGTCACTCCTCACATAATTTGTACTTCTGGCCCAAATTTGGGCTACATGTCTGTTTGACGCGCGGTAAAACTGCCACGGAGGACCCACGTCACTTAGTTGCCGAATGCAAAGCCCGCACCAAGAAAGGTCTTGAGAACCTTCAACGAATTCAAAAGGGACTTTATCCCAGCCACGCGGGGCCGTCGAAGACGTCCCAGGCTCGTGAGTTGGGCACTGTCAGGCGCGAGGCTGCCCTCCGTGGCCCGCCGCCTGCTGCTCGCTGAACTCGCTGCCACCCCGTGGATATCAGCGAATTCCAGCGAATTCCTCCTCCTCCTGCTCCTCCTCCTCCTCCTCCTCCTCCTCCTCCTCCTCCTCCTCCTCCTCCTCCTCCTCATCCTCCCCCCCTCCCCCCACTCATCACTCCTCCTCCTCCCTCCTCCTCCTCCTCCTCCTCCTTCTCCTCCTCCTCCCCCTTCTC